TAATTATTCTATTAGTAAAATAAAAATATTATATAAATAAAGTTTGAAATTTCATATACAACCTTCGATATTCTATATTAATATCAGAAGCTACTGTAGTCCATGATATTCTATTGCTATTATTATTAGTACTGTTACAATAAACTGCAATATTTTGTGCAATAGGGTGTTTGTTCCAATTATTCATTGACCATGTTAAGATTTTATACGAAGTGTATGAAGGTAACAGTACAGTGCAAGTAATAAATATGATCCATAAATTGGCATGACCTAATAGTACTTCTATAGCATCTAAATGTCCAAAAAGAATTAAACCAAAAGTATAACCTAATGAAAAAAAAGAAAAGAGAAAAACTTATTTTAGTATAATGCAACATTTAGAATACTAGAAAGATAAATATATGTACCAAATGGGAGCATGGAATGTATAAATAATGTAAGTGCACTCCTTCTTATATGATATTGTATGAAAAATTCATTTTCACTACCTAACCAATTTGAAAATATATCTTTTATGGTTAGGCCGGCTGAAACAAATTCTATAGGTGGATATACAATACATCCTGAGATTAAAATATAAAACAAAGTATAAAAGAAGAAAGCAGACATGTTTTACAAAATTATATTTTCAGTTGTATATTTCCACTTTTTTACCTGACCGTCTGAAATAACTTTTACATTTAATATGTTTAACAATCAATGTTCAAACTCTTTATTTCATCAATGTTATTTGAAAGTAAATAATAGGTTATATACAACGATTATGACGGATCCTTATGAAAATTTTGACCTTTACAAATATTTTTTACTATATATAATCTGTTAAACCGTTTGACATATTGTTATCATAATTTTCATTTTTAAACTGATTTCTTTAGTATTACTTTGTATAAAATAGACCTAAAGTAATCAACCCTTAGATTACAATGTGTGAAAATCAGCCTATAATTAGTTCTATATTTTCGATACAGATATATAGTCGATAGTTTATGACAGTTCGTAGAATCTTTTAGAATTGTTAATCGTGCAATTATTTATGATTATTTTAATAATTGTTAAATAATAGCAAT